CCAGTTTCCTAAAGGTTTGTGGAGATCCTAGACATACTGATAGGGTTCCTGCTGGGATTTTCAGACTTACAGTGGGTGATCAGTTCCCACTGGTCTAAACCAAAGAAAACAGAAGTGAAAAAGAGATCATCTCACCTGGTCCTGCTTTGCTGTTGCCTGTGTGGTGATTACCACAATTACACCAACACGCTTACATGGCCTTTGAAAGAATTACCCAGGTGGCTGATACTGCTTTTATCTCCAAAGCACAGTGCTGGGAGGAGCTCTGAAAACACCTTCATTGGGTATCACTAAAGAGTCGCTGGCCAAGCTCCAGCCTGGAACAACCTCTTGGTCAGTTTGGACCACTCCACTTACAGGTGGTCTGACCGATCCAGAAGCTTTATGGAGCTGTGGTGTGAGAGTGGGTCTGTGATTGCAGGTGGGTCTCATTTACACATCAGGCTGGCTGGCATCACATAGTTCATTTAGTGTAAAGCAGCTTGTGGGCTGTTCTGTGTTGTGCTAAAGACACAGGCGAGAGTAAGTTCACGTCTCTTGGAGAAAAAAGAAAAAAGGACTTCAGGCTACTTTTGCAGCCTCCATTTGTGGCATGTAATCTTTGGCTGACACCACAGAGTGGGGCCGTTGTCTTTTGGAGCATACGAGTGGCTGTGGGTATGTGAAGGTCATTCAGCTGGGGAAGCAGCTGGGCTGCCATTCACAATGTTTCCTTAGACAAATGTAACAGATGCAGCAAAAAACTGTCCCGTCAACAAGAATGGGAGGTATACACAGTACGTAAATAACTTTCCCATGCAGATGTCTTCCTAGTGATCTAACTGAAAATAGAAGACTCTGAAGGGAAAAAGCTCAAGTACAGCAGAGCACGATGCTCCATGGGGATTCAGCCTTGTCAGAGTACTACAGGGATAGACAGTGTGATCCGGAAATTCCTTCTGTTCTTTTGTTACCCATGCTTTATTGGTATTCTTCTTCCTATAGATTTCCAGGTATACTTTGCAACAAATCATATATTACTGAAGCTAAGGGCACTGCTGCAGTCAGAGGGCTTAGTAAAAGTAGAAGTGGCTAAGGGCAAAAGTCAATGGTGAAATGTGAACCCACAACACAAAAAGGCAGTGGAAAAGCTGGAAAAAAGCATGTAGCTGCAGGCAGGAGGAAGAACAGAGCAGCTCTTTAGTAAGAAGTTATTGAAGAAATCACTCCCTCATAAACATATTGTTTATTCAGCTGCAGAGATGAGAAAGCACATCAGTAGGAGGCAGTGAGCTGGAAGCCACTGAGTTTTTGCACTGATGTGAATCACAGGACCACAGCATGGATAGGTGACCTCTGAGGATCACCTGGTCCATCCCTCCTGCCCAAAGCAGGGTCAGCTGCAGGCAGGTTGCTTAGATCAATGCATGGACATTGCACAGACTCTCTGGGCAACCTGTGCCAGTGTTTGACTACCCTCACAGTGAAATGTTTTCTTATGTTTAGATGGAATTTCATGTGTTTCAGTTTGTGTCTATTGCATCTTTCATCTTTTCCTGTCTTTGGCCAGCACTGAGAAGACCCTGTCTCCCTCTTCTTCCTCCCTCCCATGAAGTATTTATAAATACTGATGAGATCCTCCTGAGTCTTCTCTAGATTAAACAGGCCCACCTCTCTCAGCTTGTAGGAGAGATGCTCCAGTCCCTTAATCATAGTAACCCTGCACTGAGCTTACTACTGTAGCTCCACATCTCTTGTGCTGGGGATCCCAGAACCAGACACAGCAATCCAGGTGTACCACCAGTGCTGAGCAGTGGAAAGAATCACCTCCCTCAGCCTACTGGAAGTGCTCCGTCTAATACAGCCCTGGATGCTCGTGGTCTTTGCAGCAAGAGTGTGCTGATGGCTGGTGTTCAATTTTGTGTCCACCAGGACTTCCAGGTCCTTCTCTGCAGAGCTATTTTGCAGTTGGTCAGCCGCAGCTTGCACTGGTGCCTGAGGTTATTTCTGCTCAGGTGCAGGATTATGCATTTTCCCTTGTTGGACTTTATGAGATTCCTCTCTGCCCATTTCTCTCCAACCTATCCAGATCTGTTTGGTGTGTGAGTGACAGCAAGAAGGGGAAAGAAAGAGAGAAATGAAAGATATTTTATGAAACAGAGAATCTAATCTGTTTTTGAGTTTACTATGGTGGAGAATCCCTACAACTCTAGCTAGGATAGGATAGGATAGGGTAGTATAGAATAGAATAAAAAATTCAGTTGGAAGGTATCTTACAGGGATCATCCAGTTCAACTGTCTGACCACTTCAGGACTGATCAGAAGTTAGAGCATGTTGTTAAGGGCATTGTCCAAATGCCTCTTAAATACTGACAGCCTTGGGATATTGGCCACTTTTCCAGGAAGCCTGTTATAGTGCTCTCAAGTTAACTCAAGCTCATGATCTCAGGTTGGTTGAGTTTTTTTATGTCCTCTTTTTGTTCTAGAAGATCTAATACTTAGTAAACCTTGAAAATGCTATGGTGCTTTTTGACTGTGGCTTCTTGTGATGCTATTCTGTTGGATCCAACTTGGTTCTACTCAAATCTGTCCTGATGAGAACAGGTACGACTCAGCTGATATTATGATGAGTGTACAGTCCCATATGTCACTGCAGAGTGGGGAAAAAAAAACCAACAATAGCATGTAGTAAACTACAAAGCAAAATCAAATATGTGGTTGCAGTTACCTTTGCTACTTTGTGCAGTCTGAAAAATGCTTTTTGCTCTTGTGAAGTTTGAAAAGTTATTGAACAAAGCTGATGGGTTTTCAACAGCCTGCATTTAATATTAAATGTCTCTGTATCTGCAAGCATAAACTAGTAACGGGAAACATATAGCTGGGAATAAATACCCATCTCAACCTGTGGTCTCATCTCTGCTTTTGATTAAATTCCTGCATTTGCAGCAAAGGAAGCAACAAATTTACAACTTTGTCAGTAAGAGAAGATAGTTGAAGAGTTGCTCTATCTATCTTGATTTACAGTTCATTTATTTTTATCTACCAGTCAACACACAAATACATTCTGCTACAGGTTTGGTATTTGTAAGAGCTTTCAGAAATGAAACAATCTTTTCTGATCCCTTTTAAATAGTTAACTCTTTCCCCACTTTTCATCAATTACAGTGAAAAGTGACTTACAAGAAATTTTTATCTAGATAAATAAAAGGTTCCAGGGACTAAATATATTGCTCAAACCAGTTTGGCTCAGAGAACCTGCAGGCTTAAGGTCTGTATTAGTGTCATGGTTTAAAACCAGTCAGCCAGCTTGTTCACTCACTCCCCCCCTTCTTTCCCTCCCCCTACTCCCGGAGGGATGGAGAGGAGAATCGAAAAGAATGCAACTCCCACGGGCTGAGATAAGAACAGTTTAGTAACTAAGGTATAACACAGATCACTACTGCTACCACCAATAATAATAATGATAAGGGAAATAACAAGGGAAGAGAATACAACACCTCGGCACCAGCCGACCAATAACTCGCCCCCCCAGCCTGACCAAGCACCGACCAATACCTCGTCCAACCCCGCAGTCTCCCCAGCCCTTCCGGCTAACTCCCAGTTACATCCTGGGCATGACGTGCTGTGGTATGGAATACCTCTTTGGTCAGTTTGGGTCAGGTGTCCTGTCTCTGCTTCCTCCCGGCTTCCCCTCCTCCCTGGCAGAGCATGAGGCTCACAAAGTCCTTGGCCAGACCAAAACATCGTTGTTATCAGCTCTGTTCCCAGGCTGAAAGTCAAAACACAGCACTGCACCAGCTACTAAGAAGGAGAAAAAATGACTGCTACTGCTGAACCCAGGAAGCCAGCAAGCTCTCTAACCTTTGTGAGGAGCTATTCATCACCATAAGTCATTACACCTACCAGATGTAGGTTCACTTTTAAAAATAGTGAACACCAACTCTGGCATCATCTGTGTGTTTTTGGCACTGAGCAGGTGCCCTTCTAATGATTATATTCACACCAGGTTTTCCAAATGTGGGGCTGCAGTCCTAACAGGTCACACTTGTCCATTCAAGTAATTTCTTTGGTCGTTTGGATTTGATTTAATTCTCAGCTGCCCACAGCTTCCTGTTCACAATGCTGCTAGTTATTGTATTGCAGAAAATTAGTGTTGGGCTACATTTTGAGCAGGAGGAAAGCCACTGCCTTTTTCATTTCCATCTCTTCCTATCCTCTGCAGGTACACCTTGCACCTCCTGAGGGTCAGAGCACAGGTTTGCCTTGCCATTACACAGATCCTCATGTTTCCTCCTCACCCCAGTATGTGAAACTACAGGTCAAAATCTGGCTGAGGAAGTCCTCACCAAGTGCAAGCAATTTCTGTCCCTGCTGGCACTGATCACTTAAGTAAAAAAACATTTTGCACATAAAGGACAGTTTAGGAGCTAGCTATTCAGTTGCTAGCTGTGGGTGTCATATGCAGACCTTTTAAAAGAAAGCACTGGTTTGTACTGGTATTCAGTACGAACAAGCTACAGATTCAGTGAAGGATGTGAAGGAGTTATGTGATATTTATGATACAGCAGCAAAAGCTGCCCTCTGGAGGAACAAGTCATTAGGCAAATGATACACAACAGGGTCCAAGAATACCTCCACACATTCAGCAGTGAGAGTCATTATTGCAGCTGCTTTACTAAGTTAACCAGAGATTCAAAAACTGAAATACAGACTTTATACACAATGAGTTAGGAGTATGAATAAACAAAAGCAACATTCAAGAAATGGATTTTATAAACATCAAGAAATACTGTAAAAGACTTGAAAATTAAAAACCAAACAAATACCAACAACTTTAAATTGTCCTAATATTTATAATTTAAGCAGTGTTTTTTCTTATACTTTTGCAATAGGGATTTCACCCAGAAGTCCTTATCTAATTAAAAAAGGAAAAAGAAAAGTAGTGACCATGTTACTGATACAAAACCAGCTAAGGGGGTCACAACTACAGCAGAAAAATGACACATTCAGTTAGAACCGTATTACAATTTGGAAGGAATACTTGTAATGAACACCATATATGTGTGAGAAAAAGACAGCATCACTATTGCAGGCATAAAACGATGAACAAATGTCATTATCCATTGTCCAGAATGAAAAAGAACATTAGTAAAAGGGGAAATGCACGCTAGAAAAGGAAAGAAAAAAACCCTATGGAAACTTTGAAAGCCATCTCCTCATAATAGTCTTCTAAGGCAAATGTTGCATGCACTACCTTCCCAAGAAACTGGGCAAAGCTCTTCCATTCGCTGTATGTTTCCTTCCATTTAGTTTCATGAAGAAAGGTTTGAGAGAGCAGAGTGCTGGGAAGAAATACTACAAACCTCTAAATTAGTGAAAGAGCTTCCAGCATCACTATTATATTCTGGGTAGGAGGAACTGGAAGAAATTATGTTTTTCAACCTCTGAAGTGCAATGATCAATAGCAAAAGGAGAAAAGCTAACAGACTAAGGAATATTGAAACATAGACATAGACACTGGATAAATGGCCAGGTGATGAATCCACTGAAGTTGAAAGGGATGTGGGATATAGCTCCAGAAAAGTCCCATTTTCCATGTTTCCTACAAATCCAGATGAAGGGTCGGGTTCTGACATTTTGGGGTTTGTGTTTCAAAAATCACAACAGATCTTGGATTCAAAGGTAGTTTTAGCAGCATTACAGAGGGTTTATTTTAGGCAACCATTTGTCCATCACTACAAAGAGATAACAAGTCAGCCAGTGATCAGATTTATCCTTTACTGCTCCAGTCCAGGACAATGTGAGATTGTATCCTTCAGAACTGCAAGGGAGAGAAAAAATAAAATAAAATAAAAAAACAAGATTAATTTACGAGCAGATAATGTGATTTAATGTGTATCTGATACAGTCTAGTTCTTAACTTACAAGTTAAGCTGCGATTCTTAAAGCATTAGGTAACAAATATCTTTATATCTCTATTTTCCAAAATGCAGGGATTAGGAGAAGTCCTACCCATCAATTAATTAAAATTCCCCACCACAAGTTGTTTAACTGAGCAATGGCACAATAAAAATGTACTTTATATGGGACAGACATATTGGAATCCAAATCTATCTTGTGGAAAAAACCTCGTCAAGGAATGAAAACTCCCTTTGGCACTGAACAGCTGCCTTTCTAATGATCATATTCATACCAGGCTTCTCAACCTAGATGAGCAAGGCTGATCAACACCATGATGAATGACAAATCCATTAGCCACTTACTCCATACTGTCTTGCCAGAGGTACTCAGAATGAGAAAATCTGCCAAACCTGCTTTCTTGCCATATATTTATAAAATGGATCAAATGGTTTTAAAGATCAAAATACATCTTGCTGTAATGGTGCTGTGGGGATCTCAATGGCAGGCACGTTTCAACGAAGTGTTGCAGCTGCTGAGACCTATATCCCAAGGGAATGGACAGCCCTGGCAGCTCAACATATGCAAGGGGACTACCCAAGGGCAGCAAATGGGGAAGAGATCCCATCTGTGAAAAAGTTTTGCCTCCAGCCACTTTGTGTTGGGATCTGGAAGCTCAGGTGCTGGCAAAGGTCAAAGTGGCACAGGACAAGCAGATCATGGTATACTAACCTGCTTTGTGTTTTGTTTAAAAATGTAGTCAGTCCCCAGGTGCAGCCTGGAAGTGTAAGAGAAGGCTTGATGATGGGGAACTGCTTGTAAAAAGCTGACATGCTGAAGCTGAATTACATGGTGCCACCCCTTGCCTTTGTTTTGATAGAAAACAGATAATGCAGGGTGCAAGTGGATAGGAAATGAAGCTCATTTTCTGCATATAATCATGCACATTCAATCTTTCAATCCATCCATCCATGGCCAACCTCTAACTGCAGATACTCAGGCACCATAAGGAAAGGCAGTGAGCTTTCCTCCTAAAAGGAAGACAATATCCATTCCCAGTGTGGTCCCTCTCATCCTGACCTTGCTTTCAGCCTCATCCTGTGGTCCCAGTTCAATACAATTGTCTCTAACTCACCGTTAGAAGCTTTGAGGAAAATCCTACTGATTTTTATGTTGATAGAGAAAGCAAACAATGTCAGCATCAGCCAGAGACAAAATCAGGCCCTTGGAAGTAATGATGCAACAGTCTGGGGTCTCTCCCTGTTTGTCACACAACTGCTCAAACATCTCTCTGTGTTTCCACGAGTTTCTCAGCACTGTTCCTGGCAATGGTCTGCTTACAATTTTTCCTTTAAACATGCTACCTCTGCTAACTCAGTAAAGTACTTCTTTCTTCAAGAAGCTGACATCTTTTGACATATGATGTAACTATAAAAGCCCCAACCTGAACTCAAGATGCTTAAGAAGGATAAGGTACTTTTCTGCTGGTACTGTTTCTCCTCTGTGAACACAAAAGCCTTGAAGACACCCTGAGAAAAAAGCTAAGAAGTTTGCTTTGCAGCCACTGAAGTTGCATAGCTATCCACTGTACTTTTGCACTGTAATTTACATTTAGGATGTTATGCTATATGCCACAAAAAGCCCAAAGTGCCTGAGGAAACAAGGACTACATTAAGTGGTAGGTAGAACCTGATTCTACATTTTTAAACCCTACTTTTACTTTCTATACCTCAGAACTACATCTATACTACTACATAAAACAGGCTGTTACAGGCCACCAGATCAGGGTGAGGAAGTTGACGAGGCCTTCTACAGGCAGCTGAGAGCAGCCTCACAGTCACAGGCCGTGGTCGTTGTGGGGGATTTTAACTTCCCTGATGTTTGCTGGAGGGACCACTCGGCAACCCAGCCACAGTCCAGGAGGTTCCTCCAGTGTATGGATGATAACTTCCTCCTGCAAATGGTGGATGAGCCAACCAGGAGAGGAGCACTGCTGGATCTCATCCTCACTAACAAGGAGGGTCTGGTCGAAGCAGTAAGAGTTGAGGGCTGCCTTGGTTGCAGCAACCACAAGATGGTGGAATTCAGGATCTTGTGTGGCAGGACCAGTAGAATAGCAAGTAGAATTGCAACCCTGGACTTTAGCAGGGCAAACTTTGGCCTTTTCAAGCAATTGCTAGGGGAAATCCCATGGGCAAGGCTGCTTGAAGGTAAAGGGGCCCAAGATAGTTGGTTGGCATTCAAGGATTGCTTTTTCCGAGCTCAAGATCAGAGCATCCCGACAGATAGGAAGTCAAGGAAGAGGGCCAGGAGACCTGCGTGGCTAAATAGGGAATTGCTGGGTATGCTCAAGTGGAAGAGGAGAGTTTACAGGTCATGGAAGGAGGGGCTGGCCACTTGGGAGGAATATAAGGCTGCTGCTAGAGGATGTAGGAAGGCAGCTAGGAGGACTAAGGCACCCTTAGAATTAAATCTGGCAAGAGGGGTCGAGGACAGCAGAAAGAGCTTTTTCAAATACATGGCAGACAAAACTAACACCAGAGGCAATGCAGGCCCACTGACGAACGGGATGGGTGCCCTGGTGACAGAAGATACAGAGATGGCAGAGTTACTGAATGCCTTCTTTGTCTCTGTCTACTCTGCTGCGGGCAGTCCTGAAGAGCCCTGTACCCCTGAGACCTCAGATGAAGTCAGGTCAACGGAGCGGTTTGCCTTAGTCGATGAGGAATGGGTTAGAGACCAGTTGAGCAATCTGGACATCCATAAATCCATGGGTCCAGATGGGATGCACCCGCGGGTGCTGAGGGAACTGGCGGAAGTCATTGCTAGACCACTCTCCATCATCTTTCCCAAGTCTTGGGAAATGGGAGAGGTGCCTGAGGACTGGAGGAAAGCAAATGTCACTCCAGTCTTCAAAAAGGGCAAGAAGGAGGACCCGGGTAACTATAGACTGGTCAGCCTCACCTCCATCCCTGGGAAAGTGATGGAACACCTTATCCTTGGTGCCATCTTAAGGCATATCAAGGATAAGAGGGTTATGAGGGGCAGTCAACATGGCTTCACCAAGGGGAATATCATGTTTGACCAATCTCTTAGCCTTTTATGAGGAAATAACACGGTGGATGGATGCTGGCAGAGCGGTGGATGTGGTCTACCTTGACTTCAGCAAAGCATTTGACACAGTCTCTCACAGCATCCTCACAGCTAAATTGAGGAAGTGTGGACTGGATGATCAGGTAGTGAGGTGGACTGTGAACTGGCTGAAGGAGAGAAGCCAGAGAGTTGTAGTCTATGGGGCTGAGTCTAGTTGGAGGCCTGTAACCAGTGGAGTGCCTCAAGGGTCAGTACTGGGACCAGTATTATTTAATATATTCATCAATGATTTAGATGAGGGAATTGAGTGTACTATCAGCAAGTTTGCTGATGACACTAAGCTGGGAGGAGTGGCTGACACGCCAGAAGGCTGTGCTGCCATCCAGCGAGACCTGGACAGGCTGGAGAGTTGGGCAGGGAGTAACTTGATGAAATATAACAAGGGAAAGTGTAGAGTCCTGCATCTGGGCAGGAACAACCCCAGGTTCCAGTATAGGTTGGGGAACGACCTGTTAGAGAGCAGTGTAGGGGAGAGGGACCTGGGGGTCCTAGTGGACGACAGGATGACCATGAGCCAACACTGTGCCCTTGTGGCTAAGAAGGCCAATGGCATCCTGGGGTGTATTAGAAGGGCGGTGGTTAGTAGGTCGAGAGAGGTCCTCCTTCCCCTCTACTCTGCCCTGGTGAGACCACATCTGGAATATTGTGTCCAGTTCTGGGCCCCTCAGTTCAAGAAGGACAGGGAGCTGCTGGAGAGAGTCCAGCGCAGGGCAACGAAGATGATTAAGGGAGTGGAGCATCTCCCTTATGAGGAAAGACTGAGGGAGCTGGGTCTCTATAGTTTAGAGAAGAGGAGACTGAGGGGTGACCTTATTAGTGTATATAAATATATAAACGGGGAGGGTCATGAGGATGGAGCCAGGCTCTACTCAGTGGCAAACAATGATAGGACAAGGGGTAATGGGTACAAACTGGAACACAAGAGGTTCCACTTAAACTTGAGAAGAAACTTCTTCTCAGTGAGGGTGATGAACACTGGAACAGGCTGCCCAGGGAGGTTGTGGAGTCTCCTTCCCTGGAGACATTCAAAACCCGCCTGGACACATTCCTGTGTAACATCTAGGTGTTCCTGCTCCGGCAGGGGGATTGGACTAGATGATCTTCTGAGGTCCCTTCCAATCTCTAGCATACTGTGATACTGTGAACTACATCTATACTACTACATAAAACAGGTCAAGGCTATTTTCTGATCTTGAGGACAACCTGTGCTGCATCAAGATGACTAAACTCCCTTTTATCCCCGTGGACAGGCTGGCCAAATCACAGCTGCCTTTGGGAATGAATAACGGCCAGTTGTAACCCCACATATGTCCAGGCATTGCTTGGAGGATGCTTGCTGGCCAAAACCATGCCAGGAGGTGTGCTTGCTAATTCAACAGGAGAGATGAAGACAGACAGGCTTATGTCTTGGCCTGGATTAATTTACTAGCACATACCCATCTGTAATGTTTTCATGCATAAAAGGTTACATTCCAGATGTTGTTTCTATCTTTCATTAATTGCATTGATTGTTTTACTGTGGAGCTTACACACCACCACCCCAACAGCTTACAAGATACGCAGGAGTACAAAATTGCATCTACAAACACCAGATAAAAAAATTCTTACGCTTGTGGTAACTCATACTGATGCAGAAAATATACTAAACCAAAACCATCTTATAGCCCTAATAGTATTTAGCCCCACAAGAAACAGTATTTATTGTACTTTGTGAAATAAGTCACAACAGACTGAACAAAGAGATCCTTATGAGATTATATTCCTTTTGAACTGTCTTTAATTCAGGGACCCAAAATTAACTAATGGAACAATACATGTTCATTTCACGTTCTGGAAGTAGTTAAGTGCATTATAGCTAATTTATCCTTTCTAAAAGATAAGCTTTGATATAGAAGATGCTTATCCTTGATTACTCATCATAATGAAAAGCAGAACCATTATTAATTGAATTGCTCTATAATAGCTTAAGGAATTAATTCACATAAATTCTTTAACATGGCAGAAGTTAAAAGCCTTTAAATTCTTCACAAATTTTAAATCTGCTAAGTTCTTCTTTTCCCATTAATAGTTTTGGCCCTGGTACATGGAAGAACTTTGGCATGGGTCTTTCTCTGAAGTCAGTGGGAAATTTATGGCCTTAAATAGAACTAATCAGAACCTCACAGTTAAGCAGAGATGTGTTTTGCTAGACGAGAGCCTTTATAGGTCTTTCAATGTCAACAGGGCTATTTTTAACCAAGTATTTTGTATTGAGAATAGAGACACTAAAACTCGGATTCCAAATGACTATGGTCCAGATCCTAGTTGCCTCACTCACAGTGTGTACTGACGTGAGGTGTAAATGAATCTCACCACAAAATGTAGCTTCAGCTAAAGTGGCTCTTAGGGTAATATTTTAAGGAAGATGAAAAAAAAAATCTGTGATGTTTTAATCACACATCTAAAAATACAGACCTAAAGTGTAAGGTTCTACTCATTTTAAAAGGTTTTACCCTGTTGGAGTAAACAGCAAAATCATACAGAGTGTGAACATATCTGGTCCTGACATCTGAGTAGTATTCATAGGGAAGGTACAAAACACATACAGAAAGAAAATGGATCTGATCATGATGATGTTCCCTGGTGCTGTTCCAACACTTCAATCCTGATGGAGAGCAGCCAGGATAGCTCAGCCAGTGATGTGGGGTATGGGTGCAAATGCTGGACCAAAACTCCACTACAAAGTCCTAGGGCTGCACCAACCTCTGCCATGCTGCAAATCAGACCTCTCAGCTTCTAGGAGTGGGATCCACAAGTAGTTTTGTTCAGTGGACCATTGCTATTCTTTGGCTCAGGTTCCTGCTTCTGCTGGGAGAAAGTAAGTAGCATGTATCATTTATCTCTCTTATCCTAATCCTCCCAAAGGAATATCCCCCAATAAAGCCAGATGTCAGCCTCACCTTCTGTTCTGGCAATTGGTTTTGTGCATTTCTGAAAACTAAACAGAACAACATCATAACATCTAGCCCAAACCTGGTCCCAAAAAATGACTGGGGATTTTGTCACTGACTTCGAAGTATGATGGCAAAACAAAGTGGCTTACTACAATAAACCCACTGTCTTTCTAGGAGCCATAAACTGATCAAGGAATTCAACTGAGGAGCCAAAGCTTTCAAATTCTGTAGTAGTCTGTACCTTTCACTCATCTGTTGTTGGAAAGCTGAACTGGTTTAAGGCGAAGACTGAATTTAAAGTGATGTTGCAAAATGACTGGAGATGGAGAGGAAGTCTGATGGGAGAAGGCTTCCCAAATAGCCAATCCTGAAAACTCTTGGGAAGGAGAACTGGGACCTGTCTGCTGGGGGACTCAGATTTTGTGGGGTAGCTGGATCTGCATTAGAGAGCTGGATCTCAGAGACACCTCTGCAATCAAAAGACAGGGATGCACAACTTGAGACTTCCTGAGTTATCAAGTCAAGTCCAACCCCACTGCTGAAAGTCTCAGGTCACGATCTGCCTTTCTGACACTGGATGAGTTTTCTTGCTGCTGTTAATCCACTACTCAGCCTTGCTGCTCTGATGGGCAAACTGCTTAGAAAGATTCACACACTTCAGTAAAACAACTCACTGTACCAAGGTGGCACAGACTCCACCACCACACTCTGCTGGGTTTAGATGTGCAAGAGTGCAAAACCTTGTTCTGCTTCTTTAGTCCCCAAATATGACAGCTGGCACACAAGGAGAGGGCCTGCTACACACATGGTGTCATTTGTACATCCTCACTTTTCTACCAGAAGCACTATTGTATTTTCTTCCAGCTGTGCATTTTTCTTCCATTCATGTCCTCAGTATAAATCAGTTTTTCACAGGTGAGGACAACCACCCTTATTCCAAGGGTAGGGCTACCTAGAAGATACTGTAGGCAGCCTCAATTGGAGTTTTTCATTTTCTCTTTTATCCTACGTAAGAAGGAGACAGGCAAACTGGCATTCACCAAAGCAGGGCAAACTGGTAAGGGATTAAGTGAGCCATCACTACGTAAGAGGTAAATCCCAGGTAATGAGTAGTATCAGTCTGGGTAGCCATGCCAAAGCTATCCACCGCCTGAAACTTTGATGGCGCACCTGTTATAAAACCTATTTTTTTCAGAAAATGGAAATGTGCTCAGGAGCAGAGACCTCATCAATTAGCATATGCCCTAGGTGCCAAATTATATGTAGTATATGTAATTCAGTGTTGAGCATTGCTGAGACACTAATCATCTCCCAATTCAGTCCAAGGTGAATGATAAATGAGACTTGAGCACTCTCCAGAATGGCATGTAGTAAACAGAGAGCTTTTTCATAGTCCCAATGTCATAAAACCTTTACCATCCAGTTGCCTGTATTGTATTTCTCTGCATATCTTGATGCAACAATTCTATTTCTCCAGGCTCAGTGAACTTAATATAACATACTCACAACCACTGAAGCCCTTGAGAAACAGGAAGCACAGGCAAATCTGGTTCATTTTCTTGAAAATTTATCAGCCAAAGAGAAGCACTTTGCTTTCTTGGTTCTTCCTGGCTTTTGTGACTACAAGCTGAGAAATACCTTGGCTGTTTCAGAGGTTTCAAAATGTTCAGGCAGAGACAAATTGGCACCAAAGAAAAGCAGCATTTTTATGCTACACAAACTAATATTTTTGTCATAGTCTCCCATCAACTCTTTCTTTACAAGGAAGAGGTATTCTAAAAAGCCCTTATTGTAAACAACTCCTTACAGAGGAGAGCTTAACTTGCCTTTACCATACATACAATAGTGAGGTCCTTCATCCCATCAGACGTCAATATGCTGTTAACTGACTCTGCTTTCCTTCCCCAATAACGTAAAACCCTTTTGTCTATTTCAGCTCAATGTATACAGAAAGGCAGAGGATGAGTGCGGCAGAAGGATTAGATTTCCATCATCTTCAAAACAGTGGTTTTTGTTAAAATAACCCCCTTTTCTTCTGCAGGGCAGAGAGTTGCTCACTGACCCATTGCAGGACAGCTGAAGAAACTCGCCCATGTCAGATGTCCGTAGATCCTGGCAGAAGGAGCCTCTGGCCATGAGGCTTCATCATCTTGCACACACTGTCCTCCCATGGAGCCAGTTCCCATGCTTGCACGTGTCCCAAGGGACACGGAGATGAGGATGAAAGAAGCATACCCACACTAATGAAACAATGTGACCTCAATGAAAGACTTGGGACTGTCCCTCTGATGGGGAGGATATCGTGGTTAGCAGATCCAAATGGAACTAAAATTACTGGTCATTAATCTAGCTAGGAAATGGCTAGGATAGGGAGATGAGTTGCAAGATGGTAGTCTGGGGTCTGTCCTAAAACAGAGGCAGACAGCTCTTCGATTTGAGTAGGAGAAGGGAGGCAGAGGACATCCATTGAAGCTGACACCGATTGTTAAAGAACTCACAAGTGTGTTCTCTGCTCCCTTTTGCCCTTTTGAAAAGTTAAAGCCAGGAGTGAGCAGATAATGATATCATCCCTTATGACCTGAAAGCAAAACAACCTCTATTCATTCAGCACCAGGGCAGGACGAGCAGGAGGAGGATCATGCAGGTTCCCAGCCAGTACAGTGATGCCAGTTCCAGGATGAAACCTTATCCCTAAAAGTGTGTCACTCCCCAAATTCTGTTATCAGTGATTACTTCCAAAAGCTGGCAACAAATGTTCACTACGTCTATTAAAAGATTAAAACATCTCATGACCCTTGTTAATGCAATATATGTACAATGGCCAGTGAGCTTCTGGTTTAATTCTTTCATATTCCTCCTCGCAACCTTCATTTTCCATGTTTATTTTCTGTAACATATAGGACTATATCACCACATAATGTTCTTCCAGGTAATATGTAACACAAAGCATTTAATGCCAATAAAAATACATTTGCATGCTCATACTAAAGGACTGAATGAGCGTTATATATAGGGAATTCTTCAGCCTTGAAAAACAATTTGCTCTAGACTGGAAAAATGTAGCAATTTAATATCATGCAACTAAATTAGACAGTAAATCTAAGCAAAAAAAAAAGTGAGCAACATTTTTTTCCATTGAAAACACAGGTAGCAAAGACAAAGAATGTTAATTTGGAGTTTAGCAAGAATATGATCCTTAATTCTTATTCTTGTATGTATGCTTTTAGCAATCAAAAGGCACAAGTAAGCAGGTTGCTTCTTTTTCCTGTTACAGATGGACCCTCCAGGAGCAGAGAATCCCTTCACCACTCTGCCTGGGAAACAGAACCAGTCACCAACTGACTCAATAAAATAGCACACTCAAGGAAAAGGAAAAATTATTTCCAGCCACAAGCAAAGTCCTCCTTTAATGTATGGTCTAATTTCATTTTTTTAAATTATCATTTTATGTGATTTAAATTTATGACTGTCAAAATCTAAGAAGACAAGTGCCCAGATGGCTTGGTTGCGGTGAAAATCAAATCATATTTTATTTAGGGTTTTGTGTGGGGTTGCAAAAAGGAAATTCTCAAAGCCATAAGGATACTTAGATTAATTCAGATAGGCTCAAATGCTTTTGTCATTTACATTTCCCATGAATCTGCAGATTATACAGTTATTTATATCAGTGTAAAGCAAACCCATCATAACCTGGGATCAGATCCAGAGCCCGTCAGTTGAACCTCTTTAAAAGTAAGATAAAAGCTAGCAAGGAGAATGACTAAAATACTTACAAGCAGGAATATATGGGGATGAAAGCCAAGCGTCCAATGCACAGGATGTGATTAGTTATCACGCCCAAATCTAAAAGGACTGCATACTGAGAAAAGCCCCTATAAAAAAGCACATAAAAGTTGAAAAATTTAGTAATAACGACATTGAGAAATAAAACAGGGAGGAAAAGTGCTGAATTTTGACTACTCTCTATGCCAAAAGTTTCAGAAAAAAAAAAATGACTGGAATTCTGGCTTCTGTTTTATTTCTGCTAGACACATCCTTCTTCTGTCCAGTTACAGCACTGCACGTATAACATTGAAACCGTGATCCTGATCTCTGCTCTACAGCCATGCTCCGGTACAACACCTGCCTCCTCTTCTTTTGCAGAGTGCTCCAGGACCAAGACAGCCTGTTGTCCCTGACACCTCTTTAAGCACCATAGCACTGTATCTGCAGTCTAATCCATTTCACATTATCCCCTAAAGACTCCTACTGGGAATCAGTCTTTCTGGATTACACACTACTATTTATTTATTCTCTTTATTTCAAACAATCTGCAGTTCAAGTTCACTTACCTGAAATCCCCAAACTGAATACTGTATACACACAAGGATAGCTAGCAGAATTTTGTGTGCTACATTCATTCAATATCTAAAATAAAATGTGGCCCCTGAACTGTTTTTAATAAAACAAATTAAATTGTTTGTATATGAAGAAACAATCCCAGATGATGCAGATTAAAGCAAAAGCAGGGCCACTTTCAGAAAGATCCTCCCCTCTGGGAAAGAAAAGACACTTGCACAATCATTACACATCTCAGAGCTCTACCCTTTCAGCACATTTGGTTTGAAGCGCACTAGAGAAGCAGACCTCTGGGGATGAAAGTTAATGCATTGTTGTATTGCTTTCATCCCTTCACTGAATCACTTATGGTTTAAGCCTGTCCAAGTTCAATAAAGAAAATTATCTAATGCAGCTGTTAAGTCAGCGTTGTTGAAATCCAAATGTTATAACATTGAGTATACTACTGTTCCACCCAAAGGGAGTTAGACAGCTTCCTGATCACTCCCCCATGCAGAAGGAGAGGTGGGGGGGCTGCAGGTGAACCCAAAGTCAGATTCCCCAGGGATGGACGCAGCACATCCTCTGGATGTGAGGGCATGCACCCTGTCACCCTGCCCAGAAGCACACAGGCTGAGGCAGGCAGTGGTACTGGGATGGAGAGGGGAATGCAACAGTCCCCACGTACCTCTTCTCTGGCAGATCTGCCTCATGTAACAGCTCAATCCTATGTCCCTCAGTTTTGTCCGCTTGTAGCAGAGACCCTTTCCCTTCTCTTTGTTTCTTTCAGAACAGCTCTCTGGGAGAAAGAGGCACAGATCTCTGCAACAGGGACTGTATCTTCAAACAAGGCAAACAGAAAATATTTTGCTTCTTTTTCCATCTCTCTTTTGTCTCTGCAGAATCTTCTTTATTCCTCTCCCTCCTAACACACAGAGCACTGCTCTTGCCCACTTAGCCCTTCATTCAATACAACAGCCCAATCCCCAGCAAGTCGAAGGGAACAGAGCCCACCAAATCTTGAGCTGATTAAACACGCTGGTAATGCAGTGCAAAACACAATACATCCTCAAGGCTCTTTAAATGCATGTATTCATATTCAAATGGCAAGCATACACAGTGAGATTTCTTTCTGTCCAGTCCCAGAATTATTCCTTTTATTCCCACTCCGAATAACTTTTGTTCCTGTTGGCCACTCTCAGCCAAATTCAACCCCAGGCAGACACCTCAATGACAGTTGTGCTCCTAAAGTTTAATGACAGCAGATGATCAGGAAGATCAAAGTTTCACACACCATTTGGTTCCCCCTAATAGCTTTGGATCTCAGTAATTGACTTCTACAGCCAAAACAGCTGCTAAGATGTCACTGTCAAAGTAACAGACCACGGATGCCCAGCAGGAAAGGAGGTCCAGGGCAAGGCTAGCCAGGGAAGAGGGAGAAACCACTGAGTATCAGGATTCCTTCATTTCTGTGTTTTGTGGAACAATGTCTCATTTGATTTCTTGCAACCCCAGATTTTAAAGTTTTGTTTGAATAGGAAATTTAGTGTAGGGTGGAACTGCTGTTTAACTACAGATTTCCTTTTTTCACAGGGCAAAAAGAAAGGAAGGTAAAGAGAAAAATTTAGTTAAAGCCCATTTTCCTCAGTAGAATATGAAAATATTTCAGCCACTTCTGTCTTGCCATGTCTTTTCATGGTTAAGTCACCATAGTCCTGCTACCCATCCTTGCCAAGGCTGAGAGGGGCTGCCTGGAGCATGCCACTGACACTGATAAGGCTCTGAGAAGATGCCTCCCAGCACATGGGGGGGGGGGGGGGTGATGCAATTAATCTCAGAACAAACAACAGTTAATTAAGCTTTGTTAGCTTGTGCCTGACTCTTAGCATGGACTCCCAATAACCACCTTTTGTATTCAATCAAGCAGACCAGCACTGGGCTCCACACTTGGGGTCAAATGAACACTGCAGTGGAGGGCTGTGTGCTGTGTCTGCCCTTTCTGAAGCTGCACGGACTTCTCATAGGGCAATACTCCAGCTTCTCCACATCCTTTTCTCAGAGCAAAATCTACCAGATAAAATATCAAGCCCCAGGGCAAGCAGTCCTTGTTATCAGAGCTTGCTTTCCTTCTCCATCACACCCACAAGTGAAGCTAACAATTTGCAGGGTTCAGACTCTCAGGTTCAGCATCCCTTCAGGTAAAGGGGAAAAACCATCAGAAATATCAGTCAGAGACCCCTTCACCTATCAGGAATACAGTTCTAGGACAAAATGTACCTAAATCTGGAAGTGAATAGATTTAAGGTCGCTATTGTCCCCTTCAGTGCTATGGTACAGTGTCCTTCCCAATGCCAGATGAGGTGGCTGTACACAAGAGCATAGCTGAGAGTCTTTGTCGCTCAGAATGTCCAACAGCACATCCACCCCATTTCGGGAGCCCTCCCTGCAGATATCAGCAAGGGGCTCTGCTGAACAGTAAGTGGCCCTTAACTTTGCTAGTCAGTAGGGTTATTAGTCCTTAACTAATGAAAGTTGTGACCCAGTAAGTGGAATCCAGAGTAATAAGAAAATACTTTCCTATAATAAAATTTAGCTGAAACACTGGCTTCAATGTATTTTATAGAAATAAAGTATACGGTCCATATCAAACCCAAAAACGTCAAGCAGATTTCATGTTAACCTCCTTAGAAATCCTGACACAACATAAAGCCAGGACAGAATTTTGTGCACTTGGTTCTGTTAATGCATCATCATGTTTCAGAAACCAAAAAAGCAGATGCAGTACTAGCTGTGTACCATGAACTTAAATGTCAAAGGAATTTTACGCAAAGATGTGCTATCACAGTAACTCCGCTTGCTGTAACTCTGCTTCCCTACTCAGGTGCCTCAGCCTGCTTTACCAAGACAGACATAGGAAAACCTTCAATTCTCTTTCCTCTCAATGGTATAACAGAAAAGCTCTCCATTCTCACACCATCCCTTATTTTACAATGCAGGTTGCATGCTCACCTTTGACAAAGAAACTGGCATTATCATATATGTATTTGTGTGCATAATATTGTCATACTGTCACCGTTTGCAAAACAGTCTGCAATGACTTTATGCAAAGGGACAACACTCTTGCAAAGGGAATTGCAGTGTAACGCTGTAACATGTAAGCATAAGGGGGCAGGGTTGCACCTGAAATGCCAAAAAGAGCAAGTGAGGATAATGTAGACACGGAAGGAGAGCTTCTGCTGATGCTAGGTAATATTTTGTGTAACACTGCCTCTCAGGTGTCCTTGCTTTAGAAGACATTATTGTGCTCATATCCAGTCAGAGCTAGACTAACTCCAGTGACAGGGATTGTGGCAGCACAGGCGAGGGCTGGTCTCAGCACCTCACCAGACAGCTGCTGAAGGCATCACAACAAAAGCAAATGTGCTGGGATATATCAAGGAAATTAATGAAATGATGGACAGGGTACCTCTATGAAGCTACAAGATGAAGCTCGGCAAAAGCTATAACCTTTGTGTTGAGGGAGATAGATGCTGAGAGCACAGGCTGATCAAAGCCCAGGGGTATGTCTTGGTAAAGCAGGAGAGGTGGTACATGACATACGGGGAGGCTATTGAGGACACTTGAAAGTGAAGCCTATGACTGACATGTCCGACTCAGGGGAGAAGGGGGAGCAGCAGAAGTGGGGAAATGCAAGCTAAAAGGTGGGTTTTTGCAGCAGTGCCATGGATCGACTATGCCGTAACAGGATTTCCTTTGTGCAAACCAGGAAAAGGAGGTAACCGCGATCATGAAGACACAAGGGGAGGAGTGCTTGCAAGAGAGTAGAGGTAGAGGTGAAAATGTCTTGACTTTCTAGTATTTAAATTCCAAGTCTCAAGCCTATCAGAAACATCAGATTTTTCAGTAACTCCTGGATGTACTCTATCATTGAGCTAATTCCTCTTTTGCTTTTGCATAGATGGGGCTGGGAGGAAAACTGCACTGCTTCCTGCCTCGGATGGGGAATTTACAGAATACAATTTATGATTTGTGCTGCACCCGTAAGACCCAGTTATGAACCAAGATACTTGGCAGACACAAGCTATCCCAGTCAGCCTTTTACATCTGAAAAGGTTAACAAAATGCAAGCAGCAATAGTTTCCTAAACAAAATATATTCATATACATACACCCACCTACTTGGTGATAGTACTAGAGTAGACTTGGATGCTGAAATAACCCAGGAGCCCTTCCCCTCATTGGAAGGTTCTAAAGCATTTCTCTCCTGTTAATAGCAATGCACACATACTGGATACAGCAAGCAGCAGTCTGCAGGCAGGCAAGCCTGCACATCAGAGCAGTGGAAAGCCAGGGAAACATGAGGGAGGAGGGGGTGACATTCTTAACTCCCCTTCAACCACTTCAGGTGATATGGATAACCCAGTCTGAGGATGAGGTGGGGAAGAAAGGCAGCCAGTACCCAGCTACAAGCATCTGCAACCACCCCTAAGGAGGAAAAGCCCTTTTAGGCTTTAAAGCAGGGAGAAGGAGGCTGGTGGTTTCAGGCTATCCTTTGTTTCTGTCTGTTCAGGCACAAAAACATCAGAACGGGGCAAAATGACTGTAAAACACAAATCACAAGGGAACAGCCCTCCACCTGGATGACTTACCAGAGTAAAACTACCAGCACTACATGCATCCTTACATGGTCCAGATTTTATAAATTTCTTCTATTTATCTTTCTCCCATTCTGCTATAATCACCTGAGAATTCAATAATACCCCGTGTGCATTCCTAATTGTCTTTGCTTACATAAATGTTAATCAGTGTGGCAAATGCTCAGCCCTTTACCACTATTTTCACAAATTCCCTCTAATTGTTTAGCATTTGCAAGCGTAAGAAGAGTTTGCTTCACTTGCTTTCTGTCCCAAACTTTATTACCTATACTAAGAGCTGTAACAGCCTGCAGCTTTTAGCTAGACACAGAGTTTGGAAAGGGCACGTTTTTGTGCATCCGCCCTGTTTTATTTTTCTACCTTGTGCTGTCTAAGTTCAGCTCTTCTCCCAGTACACTGTATGGGCATTTACAATTTATTTGCAGAGGGAGCAATTCCTTTCCTGTCATCTTCCCCCAAACAATGTGAAAGAGCCCACGGCTGGCAATCTATGCTTATACCCATAGAGTCAGAAATGTACTTGCAGAGTGACGACCCAACGGTCTGCAATACCAAACCCCCAGTCTGCAGCATCCTTCACACATGGAAATCAACCCATGACTCCCTTCTCTCGGCATCCCTCCCGCCAGAAGCAGAGCACCCCAGCTGTTGTCCCTATGCTCTCCCCTCTCTGCCTCCAGCACAAGCAGTTTCTCCGAAACGAGGAAGCGTTCAATTCCATTCAAGCACTCTGACGACCCACGAAGCCAGTAAGGACAAAGGTTCTTTGCAAAAAGCATTTGGGAAGAAACAAACACAGGCCTAACACACACCTAGGTTAAAGGCATGTGAAAACCCAACGAATGCCCTTGGTCACACAGGGGACCGAGCACGGGGAGGAACCCCGCAGCAGTAGCAGCCGGTGAGGCACGGAGGGCAGGCGCTGCCCTCGGTAAGGCACCGCTCGCACCGGGCACCGAGCGGAACCGGTGTCGGCGCTGTACAAAGAGCAACGATCAACAATTCTCAGCTGCCCGGCTCATCGAGGCTCGACCGGACGAAGCTCATCGAGATTTCGGCAGGGGGAGAAACAGCACCCAAGCCCGAAGTGCCGACCGCCTTTAAAAAAAAGGGACGGCCAGACCGCTCCGGAACGCTTCGGCTTAAGCGGCACCGGCAGCGCGGCACCGTCCTGCCCGCAGACACCCCGCGCTCCGCTCACCGCGCCCTGCTCCGGCTGCGGCTGCAGCTCCGGCTCCAGCTCCTTCTCCCGTTCCCGCTACCCGGCTCCGGCTCCCCTCCCGCCGCTGTCCCGCGCGGCCCAAACGGGAGCGCCGCCCACTGCCCTCCCCTCTCCCGTCCCCGCCACCGCCCGTCGGCCCCGAGCCCTGCCACGGGGCTGCAGCGGCTGTGCGCGGGGGACGGCACACACACTGCCGGCCCTGCGGGCGAGTCCGGGCAGGGAGGTTCGCTCGTCCGCAGA